TAGATATATACATATAGATTTTTTTTGTGTTTTTTTTTTTTAATCCAGTTAAGCTCAAGTTTGCAAGAGAAATGAATTTATAGATGAAAGTATCAAAAGCGTGCACACAGCTATCTTTTGGCAATTTTGTCATTTTGTGTGACTGGACTTTCTAACAGGTTTATGATGAATGTCAATCAGGATTGAACACTGAATTCCAGCCTTCATTGGCACTTCAGACTGGAGTAGATCAAGAAGAAGACAAGAAAGAGGTACGTAATAATAATTCTTTTGGACATCAGTGTTTATACCATCATAGTATATGTGAGATTAGAAGCAATTTACTGTGTCCTATCACAGTAAAGGCTAATACTACAATTTATACAGATAAAGGCAAATTAATTACATTAGTCATTATAATACATTGAACTTTTCTTCTAAGCACCTAGGACTTTGGATACCTTGACGTAAAGTCAGAGATAGGATCCTAATCAATTTCCCCAGTTAGTGATATGTGCCACAATAACTTATTTAAAGGAAGTTTTAATTTATGACTTTCTTTTTTCCTTTTCAATCTGAAGTTAGTTTAAACCAATGGTTTTTAACACTGGCCATTCACCAAAATCAGATGTGGAGTCTTTTTTCAAAATACAAATGCCTAGACCCAAACCAGATATACTGAATTGATATCTGAAAAGGTAGGTTTGGGGCATCTGTGTTTTTAAAAACATACCACTGTTGATAGTGCTGTATCTTCAACGTTAGGAATTGCTAGGCTTTTAATAGTTTTTGCTAAAAGGACATGACTACTCAAAGGGCAAAAACATGTCTATGTGTATAGTAGTGCCCTTTGAGTAGCTTGTGTTCTTAAAAGAGAGCACAGAGGTATGAACATATACACACAATAGTAGCACTTGCTTTTATCTTACTTGTTCCCTTTAAAAGTATGATACTCTGATATTCCTCAGTCCTTCTGTCCTCCCTACCATGTTAGGCTAGGCTTAGAGTATGCTTTGGTGGTGTGGTTTTAATTTTGAAAAGTTAAAGTTCTATGGGACTTAAACTTGAGAATACAGAGTGAATATAGTATATATTTTATCATATCAAATACAATCTTTTCTTTAAGCGCTGTTGACAAGGGACTATATACTAAGGGCAAACTAAATTAGTACTTCTCTGATTTGTCCATAACATCTAATAGTTATGTAGATAGTTTATGAAGATATAAAGCTCTTCCTGTATGTGATATTATCCTGAGTCACCATAAATAGAAGGAAATTAAGGACTTAGTTCCATGTGACTTCTGTATCATATAGTTTTCTTGTCTAAGGCACAGGATATTTTCCTTCTTTGGAAAGTCCTCTGAGAGCAGAATCTTAATTTTAACTTCTTTCCTTTAGCGTCAAAGGCAGTACTTGAGATATAGACGACTTTTCATGGATATTGAAAGAGAACAAGTAAAAGAGCAGCAAAGGCAAAAAGAACACAGGAAGAAAATTGAAAAGTGAGTTCTTTGATCCTCCCTCGCTGTGATCCTTAAATTACCAGTTAAGATGATTTTGGAAGCTAAATTTTTGGCATAATCAGGCAGTGGTTTTGCCTTCTAATCTATGGTGGAAGCAACTCTTTTTGATTTGGGTAGAATTATTAAAAGATGTTAAGTAGACTTCATTTTTTTTTTTGGAACAGTTATAGGTTCACAGCAAAATTAAGCGTAAAGTACAGAGAGTTCTCATTTATCCTCTGCCTCTACACATGGACTGCCTCTCCTACTGTTAACATCCTGTACCACAGTGGAATATTTGTTACAACTGATAAACCTACCTGAACACATTATAATTTGTATTTTACATTTAGGTTCACTTTTGATGTGATAGATTCTTACAGGTTTTGACAAATGTATAATGACATGTATCCATCATTACAGTATCATATAGAATAGTTTCAAAATGGATCAAATCCCTAAAACTCCCGTGCTACACCTATTCATCTCTCTCCCTAATCCCTGACAACCACTGACCTTTTTATTATCTCTATTTGCTGTTTCCAGAATATCATAGAGTTGGAATCATACAGTATGTAGCCTTTTGAGTTGGCTTCTTTCACTTAATAATATGCGTATAAGGTTCCTCCAGTGCCGTTTTCATGGCTTGATAGCTCATTTCTTTTTAGTCCTGAATGATATTCTATTGTCTGAATGTGCCATAGTTTATTTATCTATTCACCTACTGAAGGACATCTTGGTTGCTTCCAACTTTTGGCATTTTTGAACAAAGTTGCTATAAATATTCATATGCAGCTTTTATGTGGGCATAAGTTTTTAACTCCTTCAGGTGGATACCAAGGAGTGCATTTGCTGGATTGCATGGTAAGAGTTTGTTTATTTTTGTTAGAAACTGCCAAACTTTCTTCTGAAGCTGCCATATCATTTTGCATTCCACCAGCAATGAATGAGAAATCTTGTTCCACATCCTCATCAGCATTTGGTGTTGTCAGTGTTTTGGATTTTGGTCATCCTAATATGTATGTAGTAGTATCTCATTGTTTTAACTTGCAATTCCCTAATGACATGTGATATAGAACATCTTTTCATGTACAGTTGACTCTTGAACAACGTGGAGGTGAGGGGCACCAACCGCCCATAGTCAGACACCTGCATATAACTTTTGGCTCTCCAAAATCTTATCCACAGGGGATTGGTTGTAGGACCCTGCCACCCCATGGGTACCAAAATCTGTGGATGCTCAAGTCTCTTGTATCAAATGGCATAGAATAATGCATACAGGCCCTCAGAATCTAGGGATTCCTAACTGCAGATGGAAAATACTGTTTTCCATTTGCAGTGGTTGAATCTACACATGCAAAACCTGGAGCTACAAAGGGCCAACTGTACATTTATCGAAAAGTATTCATGTATAAGTGACCTGGTCAGTTAAAATCCATATTGTTCAAGAGTAAACTTTACTTACTTGCCATCTGTATATCTTCTTTGGTGAGGTATCTGTTTAGGTCTTTACCCCATCTTTTAATTGGATTATTTGTTTTCTTATTGTTGAGTAATTAGAGTTCTTTGTATATATGGAGTGATAGTCCTTTATCAGATGTGTCTTTTGCAAATATCTTCTCTTAGTTTGTGGCTTAAATTCTCATTCTCTTGACATTATCTGTCAGAGAGCAGACTTTTTAATTTTAATGAAATCCAGCTTATAATTCTTTCATGGATGATGCCTTTGGTGTTGTCTCTAAAAAGTCATTACCGTACCCACAGTCACCTAGAATTTGTCCTGTGTTATCTTCTAGGATTTTTGTAGTTTTGTATTTTACATTTAGCTCTGATTCATTTTGAGTTAATTTTTGTGAGGAATATAATGTCTGTGTCTGGATTTATTTTTTTGCACGTGGATGTTCAGTTATTCCTGTATCATTTGTTGAAAAGACTGTCTTTGCTCCATTGTATTGCCTTTGCTCCTTTGTCAAAGATCAGTTAACTGTATTTATGTGGGTCTATTTCTGGGCTCTCTGTTCTGTTCCATTGACCTATTTGTCATTCTTTTGCCCATACCACACTGTCTTAAAAGGGAAACGATACCTATAAAAGACTCATTTTAGCTTTAAGGACACACATAGGCTGAAAGTAAAGGGATGGAAAAAGATATTTCATGTAAAATATCAAAAGAGAGCTAGGGTGTCTATCCTTTTATTAGACAAATAGACTTTAACTTAAAAAGGGTCACAATAGACAAAGAAGGTCATTATATAATGATACAGGTGTCGGTTCATCAAGACAGTGTAACAATTGTAGAAATTTATGTATCCAGCATTGGAGCACGTAAATATACAAAGCAAATACTAACAAAACTGAAAAGAGAAATAAACAGCAATACAATAATAGTAGGAGACTTTAATACCCATTCTCAATAATGGATATATCGTCCAGATAGAAAATTAATAAGGAAACCGTGGACTGGAACAACACTGTAGGTCAAATCCATCTAACAGACATATATAGAACATTCTGTCAAACAGCAGCAGAATACATAATCTGCTCAAGAGTACACAGAACATACTCCAGGATAGACAAGCCTTAACAAATTAAAGAAAATTGAAATTATATCAAGTATCATTTCTAACCACAATGATATGAAACTAGAAATCAATAACAAGAAATTGAAAAATTCACAAATACATGGAAACTAAGCAGTACACTCCCCAACAACCAATGGATCCAAGAAGAAAGCAAAAGAGAAATTAAAAAATAGTGAGACAAACAAAATGAAAACACAACATTCCAAAACTTATGAGATGCAGTTCTAAGGGGAAAGTTTATAGCTACACATACTTTTTTTAAGAAAAAAGAAAGATCTCAAACAGACTAACCTTACCCTCAAGGATAGTAAAAGAAAAGCAAACTAAGTCCAAAGTTGGAAGGAAAGAAATGATAAAGAGTAGAAATAAAGGAAGTAGAGAATAGGAAAAAATAGAAAAGATCAATGAAACTAAGAATTGGTTTTTTGAAAAGAAACAAATTTGAAAATCCTTAGCTACATTAACCAAGAAAAAGAAGAAGATATTCAAATAAAATTATAAATGAAAGAGGAGACATTGCAACTGATACCACAGAAACACAAAGGATCATAAGAGATTACTATTAACAGTTTTATGCCAACAAATTGGACAGTCTAAAAGAAATAGTTGAATTCTAGAAATATGCAGCCTATCATGACTGAATTATGAAGGGACAGAAAATCTGAACAGACCAATTTCAGGTATGGAGATCGAATCCATACTCAGAAACTTCCCAACAAACACAAATTTAGGACCAGATGTCTTCACTGGTGAATTCTACCATCGAAGGAAGAATTAACACCAGCCCTCCTCAAACTCTTCAAGAAAATAAAAGAGGAGAGAACACTTCCAAAATCATGATGAGGCCAGCATTAACCTGGTACCAAAACCAGACAAGAACAGTATTCCTGATAAACAGAAATGCAGAAAGTCTCAGCAAAATATTAGCAAACTGAATTCAACAATACTTGAAAAAGATCATACACCATGATCAAGTGGGATTTATTCCAGGTATGCAAGGATGGTTCAACATCCGCAAATCACCCAGTATGATACACCACATTACCAAAATGAAAGCTAAACATTATGTGATCATAACAATAGATACTGAAGAGGCATTTGACAAAACTCAACATTTTTTCATGATAAAAACTCTCAACAAACTGGCTATAGAGAGAACGTACCTCAACATGATGAAGGCCATATATGACAGTGCCACACCTAACATCATACTGAATGGTGAAAAGCTGAAAGCTTTCCCTTTAAGATAAGGAACAAGACAAGGTTGCCCACTCTTGCCCCTTTTATTTAATATAGTGCTGGAATTCCTACCCCAAGCAGTTAGGCAAGAAAAAAGAAGTGAAATGCATCTAAATTGGAAAGGAAGAATTAAAACAGTCACTGTTTGCATATGACATGAAATATAGAGAGAAAATCCTAAAGATTCCACCAAAAACCTGTTAGAACTAATTAATGAATTCAGTAAAGTTGCAAGATACAAAATTAATTTACAAAAATCAATTGCGTTTCTATACACTAATAATGAATTATTAGGAAGAGAAATTAAGAAAACAATCCTATTTACAGTAGCATCTAAAAGAATAAAATACTTAGGAATAAATTTAAGGAAGTGAAAGAACTGTACACTGAAAACTATGAAACATCGATGAAAGAAATTGAAGACACAAGTAAGTGGAAAGATATTCCATGTTCATGGATTGCAAGAATTAATATTTTTTTAGCTGCCCATACTACCCAAAGATCTACATATTCAGTGTAGTCCCTATTAAAATTCCAAAGGCGGAGATAGGAAAAACAATACTAAAATATGTGTGGAACCACAGATGACCCTAAAAGTCAAAGCATTCTTGAGTAAGGAGAACAAAGCTGGAGATATCATACTTCCTGATTTCAAACTATATTACAATGCTATAGTGATCAAAACAGTATTATATTGACATTAAAACAGATATAGATATATACATATATCAATGTAACAGAATAAAGAGCCCAGAAATAAGTCACTTAATTTGCAACAGAGGAGCCAAGAGTATACAATGGGGAAAGGATAGTCTCTTTAATAAATGGTGGTAGGAAAACTTGGTATCCACATGCCAAAGAATGAAACTGGACCCCTTTCTTACACCATAAAAAATCAACTCAAAATGAATTAAAGACTCGAATGTAAGACCTGAAACTGTAAAATTCCTAGAAGAAAACATAAGGAAAAGCTCCTTGACGTTGTTCTTGGCAATGATTTTTCAGATATGACTCCATAAGCACAAGCAGCAAAAGCAGAAATAATCAAGTAGGATTGCATCAAACTTAAAATCTTCTGCACAGCAAAGTATTTCATTTCAACAAAATGAACATTCAACTTGTAGGATGAGAGAAAATATTTGCAAACTGTATATCTGATAAGGGGTTCATTGCTGAGGA